GAAGTATCAGGCGTGAGCCGCTGTTGTCGTAGGCTGGGGGCCAGCAACAGAGTTTGGTGACACCTCACTTTCCCGTGTAGAAAACAGGGTGCGAGCCCAGGGAGAAACATTTTAGTTGAAAAAAGATAACGGTTACCCAGGAGGGGGGATCAACCACGTCTTTTAGAAGTGAGAGCTCCATTACACCAGCAACAAGTGCAACAACAACAACAACGAATGACTCCTGATTGATACGTCCTGGCAATGTATTGAGAGATCGCGCTTTCCAGACAGTTTATGCAGAAATCGCGCTCTCGTGTGGGACTTCCTCGCAATGTATTCAAACGCCGCGCCCTCGACGCTATTAGTTTTCTCGCGATTCACTTGGGAATCGCGCTATCGCTCGAGTCCTCTTCGCGATTCATGCAGCACTCGCACTTCAGAAACCTGCCTTCTCGACCTGGCCGCTTGGGCCAGCCTTCCGACCCGCCCGTTAGGGTTTTCCCGAGCGATCGTCTGGTTTTGCCACGTGTTTTCTGCTCCTAACTCCCCTCCTTCGAATCCCGTGCTTCATCCTTGTCCCTACCCCTTCCATCCGTCTTGCTTTCCCTTGGCTTGGGGGCTGCACCTGTTACACGCGGCACGCTAAGCAGATCTATCACCAGGGGGGTACGAGCATTGTTGATCGCCACTCTGGTAACCAATATAGTGTTCATCTGAAGTGCTTCTCTCGGGCCTCGCACTCTTCCTTTGCAAAGGGAAAGTGAGGTGTCACCAAACTGTGTTGTTGGCCTCCTGTTTGCAGCAACAGCGTTTCCCGCCTGATACTTCCTCACAATGGATTCCCATATCGCGCTCTGGCGCAGAACGTTTTCACACTATTCATTCGTGTATATTTATATATATATATATATATATATGTAGACGTAATTATATAAGCAAATATGTACGCAGGGATCGCGCTCTCGCGTGGGCCGTCCTTGCAATTGATTCAGACGCCGCGCCCTCGACATTCAGGAATCTGTTGATTTCCTCATGATGTGTTTCCGAATTGCGATATCGCTAGAGACTTCTTGGTGATTAATGCAGGACGCACGCTTCTGCAACCCGCCTGCTCGACCTGGCCGCCTGGGCCTTCCTTCCCGACCCGATCGTCAGGGTCTACCCGCCCGATCCTCCCGCCTGGCTCTGCCACGTGCTTTCTGCTCCTAGCCCCCCCTCCTGCCATTCTCTTTCGTGTTCCATCCTCCTCATTGTTGCTTCCTTCCATCCGTCTTGTCTTCCTCTGCCGTAGGGGCTGCACACACACACACACATATATATATATATATATATATATATATCCCCAAGGGGGTACGATCAAAGACGAAGAGGGCGGGTATCGAGGGTTTGGGATCTACGTGTTGAGTGGCACTTGAGCAGATCAGCATATCAGAGCGAACATTCTTAAACTTGTTGTTGTTGTTGTTGTTGTTGTTGGCGTTGTTGTTGTTGTTGAACATTATTAATTCTAAAGAATAATTATTGTTGGGACCCCTGGTGCACGGCCCCCCCGCCGCGCCTAGGCCGCAGCTACATTTTCATCATTTTTTCGCGAAAGCTTCAGAAAAGTGGATGGGGTCCAGATCCGGTTGTTTTGTTGTAATCCGTTTTCCCTTGCAAAAAACACTATAAAATGACATTTCTTGTTCTAATATAATCAAATTTCAAGAATCCCTTGCAAAAAATAAGGTAAAGTGGACATTCGCGCGCGCAAGACGAAATCCTTCCAAAAGCTTAGTGTTCGGAGCGATTTTAACATAAAACATCAAAAAACCAATGGTTTTTCAACAAAAAAATGTCAAAATCTCATCCCGCGCGCTCTTGCGGATTCGTAGGAAAACCAACACTTTTTAAACATTTCTGTCAAACGGGCTTTTGCGAGCAACTTTTTCGAACTTCTGCGACAACGGTTGCGCACCTGCCAGGGCCATCATCCCTGTCAAATAATACCATGCGGGACACATTCGTTTTTTGCGCGCGCACGCCGAAATCTCCAAAAACCATTGGGTTCTTAAGAATTTTAGCACCGCGCATCATAAAAGATGTTCTGTGGAAGGCTTAACAACTTCTGTGGGTTAACAAGGCTTAACAACTTCTGTGGGTGTACGAACGTAGGCTTAACAACTTCTGTGGGTGTGTACTCCACGCCAGTGTAGTAGCCACGGTCGTCCGCAGGCCACGAAGTGAAGTGTCCGAACGTCATAGGGCGGGAAGCTGGGTGTGGGTGGTGGCGAAGAGTCGTGTGGATATTTGGTAGAGCTTGCATTGCCCCCCCACAAAGTGGGGGTATTGGCTGGCGTCGCATGAAAACCCTGGCACTGGTGAGAACACTGAGCGTTCGGGTAAAGTGATTGTTGTTGTTGTTGTTGTTGTTGTTGTTGTTGAACATTATTACTTCTAAAGAATAATTATTGTTGGGCCCCCTGGTGCACGCCCCCCCCGCCGCGCCTAGGCCGCAGCCTCATTTTCATCATTTTCGTGAGGAAGTCTCAGGTAAAACGATGTCATCCAGATCCGGTTGTTTTGTTGTCCCCCGTTTTCCCTTGCAAAAAATAAGGCAAAGTGGACATTTCTTGTTCTAACATGACCAAACTTCAAGAATCCCTTGCAAAAAATGACACGAAGTGCACATTCGCGCGCGCAAGACGAAATCCTTCCAAAACCTTAGTCTTCGTAGCGATTTTCACATAAAAACATGAAAAACCCAATGGTTTTTCAAAAAAAGGGTTTCAAAAATTCACCCCGCGCGCTCTTGCGGATTTCTTAGGAAACCCAATACTTTTTCAACATTTCTGTCAAACGGGCTCTTGCGAGCAACTTTTTCACGTGCTTCGAACTTCTGCAACAAAGGTTGCGCGCCTGCCAGGGCCATCATCCCTGTCAAATAATACCATGTGGGACACATTCGTTTTTTCTTCGCGCGCGCACGCCGAAATCTTCAAAAATCATTGGGTTTCTTAGGAATTTTAGCACGTGTGTGTGGTACAGAAACGCTTGTGTGGTACAGAAACGGAAAAACGTCGGAAAACGGTACAGGTGTCCAGTGTTGGAACAGGGGGAAAAGTCGTATAGTAAGCTAGCTTCCACAAAATGTTACCACAACAAGTCACTGCACCCATGCGCCAGTGCAGTAGCCAAGGTCGTCCGCAGGCCACGAAGTGAAGTGTCCGAACGTCATAGGGCGGGAAGCTGGGTGTGGGTGGTGGCGAAGAGTCGTTTGGAAACTTGGTAGAGCTTGAACCGGCCCCCCCACAAAGTGGGGGTATTGCCCGCCTCCTATGAAAACCCTGGCACTGGTGAGAACGGAGTGTCCCCACGTCTAGTAATTGTTGTTGTTGTTGTTGAACATTATTACTTCTAAAGAATAATTATTGTTGGGACCCCTGGTGCGCGACCCCCCTCCAAAACCTAGGCCGCAGCTACATTTTCATCATTTTTTAGCGAAAGCTTCAGAAAAGTGAATTATTACCGGATCCGGTTGTTTTGTTGTACTCCGTTTTCCCTTGCAAAAAACACTATAAAATGAAAATTCTTGTTCTTACTTGATCAAATTGCAAGAATCTCCTTGCAAAAAATAAGGTAAAGTGGACATTCGTGCGCGCAAGACGAAATCCTTCCAAAACCTTAGGTTTCGTAGCGATTTTAACATAAAAACATCAAAAACCCAATGGTTTTTTAAGAAAAAATTGTCAAAATGTTCTTCCGCGCGCTCTTGCGGATTCGTAGGAAAACCAACACTTTTTAAACAATTCTGTCAAACGGGCTTTTGCGAGCAACTTTTTCGAACTTCTGCGACAACGTTTGCGCACCTGCCAGGGCCATCATCCCTGTCAAATAATACCATGCGGGACACATTCGTTTTTTCTTCGCGCGCGCACGCCGAAATCTCCAAAAATCATTGGGTTTTTAAGAATTTTAGCACCGCGCATCATAAAATCACACGAATCGCACCGTAGCTCTCCTCTGGCTCTCTGTCTTGCTCTCTCTCTCTCTCTCTCTCTGTCTTGCTCTCTCTCTCTCTCTCTGTCTTGCTCTCATATCATGCGCAACAAATGCACGATGCGGGGCACATGCGGGGCCCAAACAAGTGATTAACCTCTGCGGGTGTGTACTCCACGCCAGTGTAGTATCCACGATCGTCCGCGCGCCACGAAGTGAAGTGTCCTGACGTCATAGGGCGGGAAGCTGGGTGTGGGTGGTTCCCGAGAGTCGTGTGGATGTTTGGTAGAGCTTGCATTGCCCCCCCACGAAGTGGGGGTATTGGCTGGCGTCGCATGAAAACCCTGGCACTGGGGAGAACACTGAGCGTTCGGGTAAAATGATTGTTGTTGTTGTTGTTGTTGTTGTTGTTGTTGTTGTTGGCGTTGTTGTTGTTGTTGTTGTTGTTGTTGTTGTTGTTGTTGTTGTTGTTGTTGTCGTTGTTGTTGTCGTCGTCGTCGTCGTCGTCGTCGTCGTCGTCGTCGTCGCCTGCGACCCGTCCGCCACCCACCTTGCGACACACCCACGACCCACCCCGCGCCTGCGGCGGGCTCGTTGTGCAATGTGCGAAAAAAACGGTGCCTGCGGCGGGCTTCTTCAGACCCTGGCAGACTGCTGACGACCCCGCCGCCCCCTTATCGGCAACTGCGGGGTGCTACGTAGACTCTCCTGTGTTGGTGTCTGGCCGCGCTATGAATGGCCGCGCTGCTGGACATCTCTCGCATCTTTCTCAAAGTTGGCCTCTCCTTTACCATGGCGAGTCCTGTTCAATCCACCACCCCTTGGGACCCCTCTTCCCTTCTTCTCCGCCTTCTCCCTCCCTCCCTCTCCTCTCTCCTTACCTCCCCCTCCTCTCTTCATTCCTCCCTCTTCTCCCCCCCCCCCTCTCCCTGCCCCTCCCCCCCCTCCCCCCCTCCCCATCAGATCTCCGCCCGCGGCCGATCTTCAGGCCCCCTTCAGACGCCGCTCCCTCGACCTCCCCCGGCAGAGCCCGCGGACAGGCCGACTCTGACGACTCGCCGCCGACCTCCGCGAGGGCGGCCACTGCGCCCGCGAGGCCGTCCGCGGAGGCCTCCTGCGGGCGGCCGGCATCGCCCGTCACGGGCAGCGCCGGGGAGAGGCTGGTGGAGGCATCGGAGGTTCGCGGCCCGAGGTCTCCGGGCGCGTCCGTTGGTTCTCGGCGGTCCTCCAGGCCCGGGATGCCTACCAGCAGCTGCGCCTCGCCGAGGGCGCTCCAGGGAAGCCGGGATCGCCCCGAACGGCCGCCGGGAGAGGCCCAGGGAGGGGGGGACCCGTGCGCAGCGGAGAGGCCCCAGGGCCCCAGCCAGGAGCGTGCGCAGCGGCTATCATGGCCCCATCGCCAACCTATCGTCGATGCATCGCCGATTCCAGGTCGGTGTTCCCCCCCTGGTCCCGCCCTATCGTTCCCCTCACAGCATCGTCGGGGGTTCGTGGAGCGGGGGGTGTCCCAAGGTGGGGGTCAGGGGACGAACCCAGCTGGATGCTCACACTTCCTTCCCACAGGGACCCTTCACAACGAGTTTCCTCAAACCCGACCCCCACCTGTGTGTCCCCCCGGCATCGCCTTGTCGCCAATACTGGCGCAGCCGCCGCCGACGCCGTTCCCGCCGCCGCCCTTGCGGGTCGAAGTTCGAAGGCCGAGGTTCTGGCCCGCTCTCTTGCTTTTGTTGGCCTCTACGGGGGCAGCTCCTGGCCACGGTTGGCTTCCAAACGATGCTCTGAAGTGCAGGTCAAGGCGGAGCAGATTCCGATTTTGGGGAGCCGACGTGATTGTCCTCCCTCCTCTCCCCCTTCGGTCTTCTCCCTGCCCCTCCAACTCCTCCTCCTCCTCCTCCTCCTCCTCCTCATTCCCCCTCCTTCCCCCTCCTCCTCCTCCTTCTCCTCCTCCGCCTCCTCCTCCTCCTCCTTCTCCTCCCCCCGCCTCCTCCTCCTCGTGCTCTTCCGCGCTCCTCCGTCTCCTCCTTCTGCTCCTCCACCTCCTCCTCCTCCTCCTCCTCCTCTCTCCTCCTCCTCCTCCTCGTCACTCCTCCTCCTCCTCCTCCTCCTCCTCCTCCTTTCCTCCTCCTCCTCCTCCTCCTCGTCCTCCTCCTACTCCTCCTCCTCCTCCTCCTCCTCCTCCTCCTCCTCCTCCTCCTCCCCCTCCCCCTCCTCCTCCCCCTGCTTCTCCTCCTCCCCCTTCCCTGCTGCTTTTCTTTCCCCCCCCTACTTGCTCCTTCCTCTCTCCTCCTTCCGTTCTCCCTCTTCCTCCTCCTCTCTTGCAGGCTGAACCGACCACATCCCCGACCGCGGCTTCATCACAGGCGGGGCCTCCTCTCCCTCCCCCTCCCTCGCTCACCTCCCGCACGATCTTCGAGACAGCCCACACCTTCGGCGCGGACAGGCGATCCTGTCTTCGTTGTCGCGGGTTTGTCACTGCTGCCACACTTGTTGAACGGAGGGAAGCACACGTTTTTTTGTACCGTCTTGGAGATGGTCACATACTTCAATCTCTGAGAGTATGGTTCTGCTCCACCTTCGGAATTTGCAGCAGGGACTGTGGCTCAAGACTCTTATTCACCGCCAGCTGACAGCAAAGGCTGCGAAGGCTGTGAGGTAATTCCTCCTATCCGTATGACATCGCCATGGCGTTCACTCCACTCCACTCCACTCCACGTCGCCATGCCCTTCCTCGTGGACAGCCTTGCGTGCGAGAGGTCTTGTGTGTCACTCAGCCCTGGTCCTTCCTCATCGCCCCTCCTGCTCCCTCTCGAGCTTTGAGGCGCGAATATTCGCGCATCGCTCTTCTTGCAGCACGAAGGGCGAAGTGCCGCGCCGCGTTTGCGCTACTTGGCCGGGGCCGACGCCATGGCGCGCTCTGAAGTCGGGCCACCAAAGTTAAAGAGGCTGCGGACGCCATGAAGTTTAGACCGTGACGTTGAACCCGAGACATCCTTATTTATGCTCATCAATAGTGGACTACCAACAGTGCTGAGTGGACTTGGTTGGCAAGCCGCGTCTGTTTCCCTTACGTGGGTTGGGCCGCTGCTCGTTGGAGCCGCCCGCGGCAGGGGCAGGCCTGGAATCGGATGTTATGAACTGCGCAGGTAACACAAGCATGTGGCATGTTGCCGCAACAAAGTCCTCTGAGGCCCGAGCGGGTCAGGACGCGGGAGGAGTGGTGGCGAAAGGAGACCAGGAGAGGGCCTCAGGGACCGCCAGTCAGGAGCGCAATGACAACGTGTGATTGACATTCTACATCGTGCATCGTACCCCACATGGTGTAACAGCCCCCCCATATGCCACCCCGCTTACAGCCCGTTGCAGCCCCGCCCGCGCGCGCCGAAGCTGCCCTCCGCGCGATCCGCCCCCCCCCCCCGCCCCCCCGCGCCCCCCGCATGGCAGGCCTTGTTCCCGCCTCCTCACCCACGCGATCCGAGACCCACGCGTATTGCCTGTAGGAGGCACCCCGATCATCACCGCCATGCGTGGTAAGCGCCACGT